AGTTCACAATGATGCTGAAAGTATAATAATAGCTCACTTTTGGAGAGTGATAGGAACAAATTCATTATCTTGAACACTGATAATCAAAGGGGGAAAAATCAAGCATGTAGCCTTTTCTACATTAACTATACCACTGGTTAACAAATAATTGATTAGGTGAAGCATCTCTTCATGAAAAGACTCCGATTAATAAATGAAAAAGAGATGATAGAATTAACATATCACCATGTTGCACCTTCCAGTGAGTTAACAGATATAGGCATTATGTTATCAGGGCCTGCTAAGATCACAGAAATACAGACAACCAAACATCGATGTACCCTCTGGTGAAGGAGCATCTATGGTCTTGCCAAAGGGATTCAAAATTGTGTCTAATCAAATCTCTACATCCAGGTGCTAATTTGCATGAAATAGAGAAGATAGAGGAACATGTTGAATGTGAGTTGAATGTCGAATATGCAGTCAGCAAAAACCTAGACTGTGGGAAACCACAGATCAAATCTCCCTAGCTATGCAATAGATATACTGTAAGGAAAAGGATGGAGATGGAGCCTATCGATAAAAGGATGTAAAATATCAAGTCGATATGCTTTTTTAAAACACATGCAAGCCTGTGACGTCTAAGGATGTACATTTGGGTGATAAACTGTAAAGAAATGCAATGCAGGCCGAACTCGGTGGCTCACACCTGTAATCCCAGCACTTTGGGAAGCAGAGGTCAGTGGATCACCTGAGGTCAGGAGTTCGAGACTAGCCTGGCCAACATGGTGAAACCCCGTCTCTACTAAAAATACAAAAATTAGCCAAGCATGGTGGTGGGTGCCAGTAATCTCAGCTACTCGGAGGCTGAGGCAGGAGAATTGCTTGAACCTGGGAGGCGGAGGTTGCAGAGAGCCAAGATCGCACCATTGCACTCCAGCCTGGGCAACAAGAATGAAACTCCATTTCAAAAAAAAAAAAAATGCAGTGATTACTATGAAAGTCAGGGTAATGGTCACCTTTGGGAGAAGGAAGATGGTTGGGGGCAGGGCAGAATCCATGGAGGGGCTGCGGGGTGGCTGCAAAGTTCTATTTCAAGACCTGGGTGGTGGATACAAAGATGTCTGCCTTTGAATTAACAACACTGAAACAAGTCAACATTTGTTTTGGTTGATTTTCTGCATCTATGTTTTATGGTGTGATTTTTTAAAAATCTCTGTTGTAGTGTCTGGCAAACTTTTTATAAAAAGGGCCACATATTAAATATTTTAGGCTTTCCAGGCCAAGAGGCAAAATCGAAGTTGTTATGTAGGTATTTCTATAACCATTTAAAATGTTTACCTTGGAGGCCGAGGCGTGAGGAACGCTTGACACCAGGAGTTCAAAACTGGCCTGGGCAACATAGCGAAACCCCATCTCTTTCAAAAATAATAAAAATAAAATAAAATAAAAATAAATAAAATGTAACTACAGTATTTTTTTTAATGCATAAGGATAAACCTCTAGAATTGAGACCCTCAAGGGTCCACCAATACTTGAATTCCTGATCGAGGGGCTCCAACAGCCACTGGTGTGCCCTGATGACTTTGCCAGATTCCCATGGTAACCGCTCCCCTTCCACCCTGGTCCACATTAACCTCCATGTCTCTAAGCCACAGGCAGACGCAGTCACCAACCTCACTTCCCTAAGAAGCTGGGGGAGGGAAGGGGGCGAACGTTCTTGCGCACAATGAGCTCCCAGCTACACCCACCAACTCTGGGTGAGCACCCCTCCTAGGAGAAAGGGAGAACCTAAGGGCACCTAAGTCTTAGGCCCCAGGACCAGACAAAAGAACGTTTCCTAAAGCCTGTGTCCAGACTCCCCTCACGAGTCCTTGACTACGTCCTTGTCACTCAAGGTGTGGTCTAGTAGACTAGCAACAGCAGCAGCATCACCGGGGAGCCTGCTAGAAATGCAGAATTTCACCCACTCCAGACCTACCGGATCATAGTCTGCACATTTAACAAGCTAGCAGGAGATCCATATGCATATTAATGTTTGACAAGTGTTGGTTGCTTTCACAATCCAGATAAGCCGATGCCATAAATAAACACATCAAACCAGAAACACCTCTCGTAGGTTGACTTTTTAACCTAGACGCTAAAAGACTGCTTTTATGATTTATAAGAGGAAATTCCCAAAGTTGAGTTCCCCATGCTCAGTAAGAATGAAAATTCCCTCCTATCTTCTCTGACCATCAATCCAGCACAGAATGTCTCACCGATCTTGGGGTCTGGCTCTCAAAGCCAATGGGGAAATCAGAAAGGACATTTTCTACTCCTAGAATAAGAGTGTTACATCTTTTAAACAAGTGAAAGGGAGAGCACAAAGAATGGCTGAATGCCTTGAACGTACCAAGATAAGTAGGTCAAATGGCAACATAAGGGAAAATCCCAACTCCAGGGAAGATAAAACACCACTGTCTTAAACAATGAAAGGAGCACCCCAAACGTTGCTCACAAAACCCAGCTGAGTAACTCCCAAAAAGCAGACCCTATTTGCATGTTAAACCTCAAAATGAAATTCCCACAAATACTGAGACAGTGGATCAGTACCCTTCAGAGAAGTTCCCAGGGTTGGTAACTTCCCTGTCTGATGAGTTTTCTCCACCTCCATCTATCTTGGGAAGCTGCAGGCCTTCAGTTTAACTTCCTCATCAGATGACAGTTGCAAACCAGAACAGACACATCCCAATCCTACATGAACCACTTTGCTTCACTGGGAAATATTAAAAAGAACCTAATGATTCACCAAAGAGCACCACATTTAAAGAAAAGAAAATTATCATTTTTAGTGGCAAAGACAAAATAAGATGAGAGAAAAACCTACTTCAAACAGAAAACAACTAAAAACATTTTTCTAAAAATCCAAGGTACATGCTACAACACAGATGAACCTTGAAAACATTATTTTATGTGGAAGAAGCCAGTTACAAAGAACTACATATTATATGATTCCATTTACATGAAATGTCCAGAATATACAAGTCTGTAGAGACAGAAGGTAGATTAGTGGTTGCCAAGGGCTAGGAGGGATGAGACAATTGGGGGTTAATGGCTAAAGGATTTGGGGTTTCATTTGGAAGTAATGAAAATGTTCTAGAAGGGATTGTGGTGATGGTTGGGCAATTCTATGTAAATATACTAAAAGGCATTGAACTGTATACTTTATTTAAATGGGTGAATTGTATAGTATGTAAATTATATTTCAATAAAGCTGTTTTAAAAAATTATATGGCTCCATACTAGATCCAAGTTTGGAGTTTCTAATATAACACAACGACTTTCTGGGCAAAATCTGAAAAAAAAAAAGGTGATGTCAGTACTGAGTAGAGGCCCCACCAGGTTTGTATGGCAAAACACTCCCATCTCAGTTTGGGAAATAATTTCACAGTCTTGTCTAAAGATCATCAATCTCAGCTGGGCGCTGTGGCTCGTGCCTGTATTCCCAGCACTTCGGGAGGCCGAGGCAGGCAGATCGCCTGAGGTCGGGAGTTCAAGACCAGCCTGACCAACATGGAGAAACCCCATCTCTACTAAAAATACAAAATTAGCCAGGCATGGTGGTGCATGCCTGTAATCCCAGCTACTCAGGAGGCTAAGGCAGGAGAATTGCTTGAACCCAGGAGGCGGAGGTTGCTGTGAGCCAAGATTGCGCTATTGTATTCCAGCCTGGGCAACAAGAGCGAAACTCCATCTAAAAAACAAAACAAAACAAAAATCATCAATCTCACAGAAATCCCCAGCTGATTTTAGCTTCCTGTTCCAGAAACACTGGAAAAACCAAAATAGGCCAAACACACTTTCAAAACAATACCTTTAATCTATGTAGGCAAAGGGAGAAAAAGGGGATCATGGAATAGGAGTTATAGGTGCTGTCAGAATACAAAGTTGAGAATTTACTATCACTATAAAAATTCAAGTCCAATGTCGATTCCCCAAAGAAACTATGCATCCAAAGACTCCAAATAACACACACAGAATGGTGGCTAAAACAGACCACCTGGATGGTTAAGGCCTTCTCCATTATTACACTGACCTCAGCGCTGGAACCTCTATTGAGTTTTAGCTTGGCAGATTCTCTTCTCTCTTCCCAATCTGTTTAATTTTCCAAGCCAAGGGCATCATGAGAAACCCCATGAGCACCCTGATTGCATCCACAAGGACCTGTTGGCTTCAGGGTCACAGCTGCTACTATGGAAAGACAGAAGGGAGAGGTAGGACAGGTATATCTCTTACCTTAAACGAAAACACACAAAACCTCAGTGCATTAGAAGGCTTAGAGAGTGAAATCTCTGCAGCTATCAGCCAACAGCTTCCTCCTGCCTTGACGACCTGGATTCTCTCTGATCCCCAGGCAAATGACAAGACCAAATGTTAGGCAATTAATAATATAGCAGATGCTGTTTGGTTTCTGTGTTCTCCTATAGACTCCTGCTTCAAGGGCAAAATGGCGGTGTCTGATGCCAAGGTCCAAGGGAACTGGCAAATGACTAGAACGTTGCCTAGCACATACTAGGTCTTCAAAAACTATTTGTTGAATATCTCTTGAAGGAATGCTGATACTCCCCTGTCACTCTCTGCCTTCTTCCCTCAGCCTGGAAACACCGACACAAACACACACACACACATACACACACACACGAAGTTGAATCCACACTTGTTTATTGCAACCCCATCTGTAACTTTGCAAAACTAATAAGCACAACAGCAATTACTGCTAGAATACAGATTTCAATGGGCAGGGCATTTTGTTAATTTTGTACCCTAAACGCCCAAAACAATGCCTAGCACATAGTAGGCTCTCAATATGTGTTTAATGCCGAATGAATTAAAAACCTACTATGTGCCAGGCGCTGTGCTAGATCGACTTCTGCCAGCGACCCAATCGATTACTTCCACACCGGCGGCAGAGCCGCCCCCTGAGTCCTCCTACAGCCAGGGGCCGCTGTAGGAAACGCCTGGCTTCCTTGCCTCGTCACTCTTTGACCCCGTAAAGTCACTGCCCGGAGCTAAGATGGCAGCGTTGGTGGCAGCTGCAGCCCGGCGGCTGCGGCGGGCCATTCGAAGGTCGCTCGCATGGCGGGGCCCCAGCCATCGGCTGCTCTCATCGGAGCCCCCTGCAGCCAAGGCCTCGGCCGTGAGGGCCGCCTTTCTGAACTTCTTTCGGGACCGCCATGGCCACCGGCTGGTGCCCTCCGCCTCCGTGCGGCCCCGCGGCGACCCCAGTTTGCTTTTTGTCAACGCGGGCATGAACCAGGTGAGGGCCGAACCATACTGATAGGGAGCGGAGTTTGTGAGTTTTCCGGTGAGAAAGACGCTGCAGGATGGGCAAAAGAAGCGAGAGGCGGAGTTCGTAGCTTTTGGGGAAAGAGGGCGGTGCTTGGTTGGGTAAAGTGATGGGGGTACGGCGCTCAGAGTATAGGGAGGGTTTCGGGAGGGCTTGGGGAGGGCTTGAACTGGGAACTTCTGAATTGGAATTGAGTATTTGGTCCAGAAATGGCTGGAGTGGAATCCCGTGGGGGCAGACTGGTGGGGGAAATCCCATTTCATGTATTCGCTCTTTAAATAAAGATAACGCTTTCATTAAATGTTTATTGATCACCTGTTGTGTGCTGAGTACTATTCTCTAAGCTTTTGATTTTTATCAGCCACTTACCTTTTCTAGACTTCATTGTCCTCATCTGTAAAATAGGGGCGGCGTAAGTTAATCTTAGAGGCCGTCTGGGATCCCTACTAAATAAGTCTTAGTTTTGTACCCTGAAGTTATTGGGTGTGGTTGAAGAAGCTGAGACGGAGGATGCCACATTTCAGTGCCCTGTTTCCAGCTCCCAACACATTCCTCCTTTTACCTTGCCCATTTTACTAGCAGAGGGTCTCCGGTTCATGATTTATTTACCTCTTCTGTGCTCCCCACATACCAGAGATGGCTGTCTCCAGGCTCCCAGGTTGTCCTCCTAGACCAAGATTACAGTGCACTCTCAGGGGCACTGTCAGCCTTCGGTCTGAACAGCCATCCCTAAACCCACTCCCCACATTTCCCTTCTACTGAGAAATTGCGATATCCCTCTCCTCCTCCCCACTCTATGTGCTTCCAGTTCAAGCCAATCTTTCTGGGCACCGTGGATCCACGAAGCGAAATGGCAGGCTTCCGACGTGTGGCCAACAGCCAGAAATGTGTGAGAGCTGGAGGACGCCATAACGACCTGGAAGATGTGGGTCGAGACCTTTCCCATCATACCTTCTTTGAAATGCTTGGCAATTGGGCCTTTGGGGGTGAATATTTTAAGGTGAGTCTCTGGAGAGCATTGATCAGCCAAGAAGGGAGTCAGTTTGTCCTGTTTCCATTGTACTGTCTGCTTAGGCAGGGCCTAATACCAGATGTGGAGGCAAAGTGCTAGTTGAGCAGGTGTAACAGGAATTACCTTGCTTCCCTGATTGGATTGTAAGTCCCTCAAGGGCAGAGACTGTGCTTCCTGCCTAATGACTACTCAAAAATTGTTGTTTGAGCAAATGGTCAAATAGCAATGCTAAGGTACTTACTAAAGTTAAAGATCACTCCAGGCTAGAGTAGGCAGAGAATTTCATGTGAAAGTGGGACTTGTTCTGGGGCTTGAAAGAAGATAGGATTTAGAAGAAGGGGAAGCTTTCTGGGCAGTAAACACTCAGAGGTAGTAATGGTTCATGGCTTATTCTGGGAACAAGATGGCCACAGAAATGCTTTTGTCTTAAGTGGGGGGGCTAAACTCACGTGGCTTGATTACTTCAGTGGGGTCTCCGTCTCACCCATCTTCCTCCCCCAACCCCATGCTGGTTTCTGCTGCAGGAGGAGGCATGTAGCATGGCCTGGGAACTGCTGACTCAGGTCTATGGGATCCCTACGGAAAGGCTCTGGGTCTCCTACTTTGATGGTGACCCTAAGGCAGGGTTGGAGCCAGACTTGGAGACCAGGGACATTTGGCTGAGCTTAGGGTAAGTCAACCCCCTACTTATGTTCATTCCTGGAGGGCAGAAGGACTGGATAATGGAGACTACCAGCACCAATCCTCAGAGTCTCAGCATTTCATTCCAGGATACTGTGGACTTAGCCCTGTTCTTCCTCTTGCTGAGCTTCGACTTGAGGGAGGGGCTCTCGTGGCAGAGAGGGTCCCATCTTCTGGGTCTGTCTATCTCTCACCACTCGCCTGCCTTTCTCCTCAGGGTGCCTGCTACTCGTGTGCTTTCCTTTGGACCACAAGAGAACTTCTGGGAGATGGGGAATACCGGCCCTTGTGGACCCTGTACCGAGATCCACTATGACCTTGCTGGTGGGGTGGGAGCCCCCCAGCTGGTAGAACTTTGGAACCTGGTCTTCATGCAACACAACAGGTAAGGGGGTGCGGAAGCAGGACGAGAATCCCTGGCTAGAAGTGGAAAAGGTGGCAATTAGAAGACTTTGATCTGTTTCGTATAAAAACAAACACGTAAATGATGCTTACCATGTGCCAGGCACAATTCTCATCACCTTGTAGATAATAACTGATTTAATTGTAGTCTTTGCCTGTGACAGCTTAAACAAGTCACTGCTATTCTCTGTTGAACTTGATGATCAACAAGTTGAGTTGAACTTGATGATCTCAGATTTTCTTCTAGCCTTGACATGTCTTTCTAGGGGCAAAGAATTCTGTCCCAAGATGGGATGTCTGCTGCCCAGGCAAGGGCCCAAGCAGGGGTGAGAGTGGAGATAGCCCTATATGAGAAAGGACAGGACCCCAAGGCCATCATCATCTGCTACTGCAGGGTGGCAGGGGAAGATACTGATTGTCTGGTTCCTCCCATTGTCAGCCCCCTTAGGCTCCCCGCCACCCAACATTACTCCACTTGGGCATCTCACACCTGTAATCCTGGGTGGGGCCTCACCTTGCACACCTTCCCTGGACAGAGAGGCAGATGGAAGCCTGCAGCCCTTGCCCCAGTGGCATGTGGACACAGGAATGGGCCTGGAAAGGCTGGTGGCTGTGCTGCAAGGCAAACACTCCACCTATGACACTGACCTCTTTTCCCCGCTGCTCCACGCCATACAGCAGGTGAGTGCCTCTTCCCTTCCAGAAGCCCTTCAACTTGCTCATCATAGCCCTCAGCCCCATTGCATTCCATCTTTGTTGAGAACTGAGAGTGTTCTCAGCATCTGAGGGCAATAACCAACCAAGAATTCCAAGACGTCAAGCAAGACACTAGGATTCATTACTTATTACCTGCTATTCCTCCTAACTCCTTACCTCTTTCATTTATTCAGAAAATACTTGTTGAGTGCTTGCTTTATGTTAAGTCCTTTGTGTTTGGTACAGAAGACACAGCAGTAAGCAGGAAAGAGATCATGGAGATTATATGCTAGCATGAGAGATAGACAATAAATGTGTTAAAGAACAAAGTAATAGCTTACAGATTGTGAACAGGCAGTAAACATGGATGAAAGTAACTAGGAAGAAGGAGGGGTACAGAGGAATCTTAGATAAGGTACTTGGGGAAGGCTCACCAAGAAGATGACCTTTGAGCTGAGCCCCGAAGAAGGAGGAGTCAGCCACAAGAAGCTCTTTCCAGGCAGAGGGGACAGCAGGTACCAAGGACCTTGGTACTGATGGATTAGATGGGGAGGGGAGAGAGACATCAAAGATGGCTCCCAGGCTATTGGCTTGAGCAACACAGTGAATGGCATGACTGTTTACTGAGATGAAGAAGCCTGGGGAAGAGAGAGCTTTGGAGCTAGGTGAATCAAGCTCTCTGCTTTGGAGCATTTCCATGTGTGTATAGCTTATACCCTCCCCGTTGCCCCCCAAGAAAGGGCTTGACATGTGCCAGAAACAAAAAGGTGGCCAGCCAGCTAAAGGAGAATCCCATGGGATATAATAGGAACATGTGTCAGTTAGCTTTTGCTGTATAACAAACCACCCTAATGCTCTGTGGCTTAATCACCAACCATGTATTTGCCCCCTGAGTCTGTGAGCTAGAGTTTAGGCTGGGCTTAGCTGGCTCATACTTTGGTCTTGTGTGAGCTCACTCATCCATCTGTGGTCAGCTGAGAGGCAGCTCCTCCTCTGGGGCTTGGCTGGCTGTCAGTTTGGAGGCAGTAGGGGTGACTGGGCCGTGTGTCTGTCATCACCTAGCTGGCTGGTCTGGGCTTGTCCACATCACAGCTCAGCAAGGTTCCAAGACAGAGAGCAGACACATAGGCTTAGAACAGTGTTGTTTCCAGTATATTCTGTGGGTCAAAGCAAGTCACAAAGCCAGCACAGATTCAGGGGATGGAGAAACAGAGTCTATCCCTTGATGGGAAACAGCTGTAAAGTCCCATTTTTAAAGTGGCGTATGCATAGGAAAGGGCCATTTTTGTGAACAGTCTACCACAGACAAGAGGGCAGAGTTCAGTCTTGTGGGCCTTGAAGTCCAAAGTGGGGCTTTGATTCTCAGAGTGGCAAGAAGGGTTCTAAGGGCTGGGCACGGTGGTTCATGCCTATAATCCTAGCACTTGGGGAGGCAGAGGGAGGCGGTTCGCTTGAGGTCGGGAGTTGGAGACCAGCCTGGCCAACATGGCAAAACCCTGTCTACTAAAAAATAGAAAAATCAGCAAGGCATGCTGGCACATACCTGTAGTCCCAGCCACTTAGGAGGCTGAGACAGGAGAATCACTTGAACCCAGGAGGTGGAGGTTGCAATAAACTGAGATGGTGCCACTGCACTTCAACCTGGGCAACAGAGTGAGACTTCATCTCAAAAAACATAAATAAATAAAAATGTACATCAGATCATATCACTTTCCACTGAGAACACTTTTTTTTTTTTTTTGAGACAGAGTCTTGCTCTGTCACCCAGGCTGGAGTGCAGTGGCATGATCTCAGCTCACTGCAACCTCTGCCTCTTGGGCTCAAGCAATTCTCATGCCTCAGCCTCTAGAGTAGCTGGGATTACAGCCACCTGCCGTCACACAAAAAATCTGTATATTTTTAGTACAGATGGGGTTTCACCAAGTTGGCCAGGCTGGTTTGAAACTCCTGACCTCGGGTGATCACCCGCCTCAGCCTCCCAAAGTGTTGTGATTACAGGTGTGAGCCACCACGCCCAGCATGATGTACACTTTTAAAAGCCTACTCCTGTTGCTGTGTGGAGGATGAACTGGAGGGAGATGAGAGCAGAAACTTAGGAATCAATTGGGAAGCTATTATCGATCCAAGCAAGAACCACAGGGCATGACTTCGGCTAACAGCAGTGGAAGTAGAGACAAGTAGATTGATCTGAGAGATCTCATGGAGGTAGAAGCAAAAGGACCCACTGATGGATTACGATGGGTAGGGGAAAGAATTCAAAGATGGCTCCCAGACGATTGAGCAACACAGTGAATGGCATGACTGTTAGATGAAGAAGTTTGGGGAAGAGAGAGGTTTGGAGCTAGGTGAATCAAGCTCCCTGCTTTGGAGCATTTCCATGTATGTAGCTTACACTCTCCCTCCCTGCCCACCCCTACAAAAGATGGGAGAGGCAAGAACAGGCAGTGGAGAGCATCTGGAGTCCAACAGGCCCGGCTGAGATCTCAGATCTGCTCCTTGAGAGCTGGGTAGCCTTGTGTCACTGAGTTCCTCTGAGCCTCAGCTTCCTCTTCTGTAAAGCAAGGATACTAATACCTCCTGGAATGGGCTGTTTTGGGGATTAGAGTTCATGTTGTTCAAGTTCTCACCCAGTTCTGATAGTAGAAATTCAGTAAATGATCACAGATATGTTCACTTGTAGCACCAAATATGAGCCCCGTGAGGGCAGGGGCTGGCTCCTGCTCATCCGTGAGGCTTCTCAGCCCAGGACTGGACTGGCAAGGCCATTCTGGATGTGGTTGGCTTTAGGGCTGAGTTCAGATGCTCTAGAGGCGATAAAGAGCACCTACCTGGGCCAGTTCAGGCAGGGCCACTGGCTGACTCTTTCTCTCCTGCTTCCCAGGGCTGCAGGGCACCCCCTTACTTGGGCCGGGTAGGGGTGGCAGACGAGGGGCGCACAGACACAGCGTACCGCGTGGTGGCTGACCACATCCGCACACTCAGTGTCTGCATCTCTGATGGCGTCTTCCCTGGGATGTCAGGTCCCCCGTGAGTCTGGAAGGGCTACAGAGAGGACAGGGGCTGCTGGGGGTCGCAGGTGGAGGAGGGAAGGAAGAGGAGAGGTGGGTCTGGTTGAGCCAGTAGGAGGAATGGGGAGAGGGAGAGCTTTGGGGTGGGAGCGCACACTGTGGATCTTGTCCTTCCCACTCCCCATATTGCTGACCATGAGCTGCTAGGGGTTCATGTCTGGGCTCTGAACCCCTTTAGGCTGGTTCTTCGTCGGATCCTCCGTCGAGCTGTACGTTTCTCCATGGAGATCTTAAAGGCACCACCTGGCTTCCTAGGCAGCCTGGTGCCTGTAGTGGTGGAGACATTGGTAAGGACAGAGCTTCTTCTCCACTGTGGGCCTCCCTGGGCACTTTGGGGAGCCTACCACTGAGCCTAGACAGTGCCTCCAGCCTGGGTGCCCAGAGGTCCCCACCCTAAATGTCCAGCCCAGCATCCTATCAGCAAGCTAAGAAAGCTGTCCTTGCTTACAAGAAGCAGGAAAACTTGAGGCTCCTTGCCCAAACCGCTGAGCCTTTGACCTCATGACCCCCTTCTGCCACCCTACAGGGAAACCAGTTCCCCATTTGAGTCCCTCTCCCAGCCCCTCAATGTGTCTGAGCCTCCAGGGCAAGTGTCCTCAGGGAGGCCCAGGGTGGGGAGGTGGGGGTGGGTTGGTTGCCTTTCACACCTCCTCAGCCCTCTCCACCTCCCCCAGGGAGATGCTTATCCAGAACTGCAAAGGAACTCAGCCCAGGTACTGGATGCCGGTGGGAGAGAAAGGGGTTGATGGGAGAGTTGTGGAGAGAGACCCTCCTTTCAAGGAGACCTAGCTCCACTTCTGCTCTGTCTGGTTCAGATCTCCAACCTGGTGTTAGAGGACGAGGCAGCCTTCCTGGCCTCCCTGGAGCGGGGTCGGCGGATCATTGATCGGACTCTGAGGACCCTGGGGCCTTCAGATATGTTCCCTGGTCAGTGGGATACCTAGCCCATGCACAAGGGACTTGCTGAGACTTGCCAGGGTGGGCAGAGGAGGGAGCTCTGGGCCAGCCCCCTGCCTCATGTCCACCCCCAACCTCTGCCCAATGTTCCTCTCTCCCTGGACTCTCCTTCCATACCCAGACCCCTCTGCAGCAGGAACACCACCCTGCCCCTCCCTATGTCCACACTGCCCGGCTAGCCCTGCCTCCTGCTTTCCTAGGTTGGCTTCATGCATAGACTGAGCTTCCCTCCTCCCTTGAAATGACCTGTGCCCAGGGAGTACCCTGGACTACCCCCAGCTCTGGCCTTGAGGCATGAAGCCTGAATGTGACCCCTCTCCTGAGGCTACCCAGTATGGAGGGGGTATTTGTGTTTGGCATCTGGTGGCTTCTGCGTGGTTAGAAGGGCCCTGGACCTTATTTTTCTCCCCTTCTTTGTCTAATCCCTCCCCTTGTCAACACTCTTTGTCTTCCTTTCTTAAAGCTGAAGTGGCCTGGTCCTTGTCACTGTCTGGAGACCTGGGGCTCCCCTTGGACATGGTAGAGCTGATGCTGGAGGAGAAAGGGGTCCAGCTGGACTCCACTGGACTGGAGCGGTTGGCCCAGGAGGCGGCCCAGGTACAAGCTGTGGCACCCCCATGCTGGTTCTGTTGGGACACCCCTTCCCCAGCCCTGAGCTCCTGGGGGAAGAGCTGTGGATATTGAGAGAAATCAAGAGTCTGAGATAGGATCTGTCCCCTCACCTGGGAGGTTTCTAAAACCTCAGGCCACGACTTGTAGAAAGCATCACTAGCCAATGGGCTAAACACAAGAGCAGAAGCCAGCACAGCTTCCTGGAGAGGGGCCTTCCAGGGGCAGCGGTGGGCAAGAAGGCCTAATCCCGAGGATCCCACATGATGGATGGTTCACCAACCCGCCCAGGGGCTCTAGCAGGCAGCCAAGCCCTGAATTCTTATTCCAGAAGGGCTGCAGAGTCCACAGCTGCGTGGCAGGGACAGGGCCCTGCGAGGCTGAAGTCCCACTTTCATTCTCCATGTACTTCTTCCATGCCCATCCTGCAGCACCAGGCACGGCAGGCTGAGCCAGTTCAGAAGCAGGGATTGTGGCTTGATGTCCATGCACTGGGGGAGCTGCAGCGCCAAGGAGTGCCCCCAACTGACAGCAGCCCCAAGTACAACTACTCCCTGCGACCCAACGGAAGTTATGGTGAGAGCCTGGACCGAGGTCTGCCACCACAAGCTTGCCTGACCATGACTAAGACGAATGTCCAAGATGGTTGCTGCTGGCCCCTGTGTATTCCCCAGGATGGCCACCAGGGGTCTCTGTGGCCCCCAGCTGGAAGTGCCCTGCGGGGTGCCTGTTAGCCCCAAGGCACAGACCCACCTTCACGTCCCCAGCCCCTGCCCACCACTAATAACCATTCTGTTCCCTGGCAGAGTTCGGCACCTGTGAGGCCCAGGTGTTGCAACTGTATACAGAGGACGGGACAGCAGTGGCCTCTGTGGGGAAAGGCCAGCGTTGTGGCCTCCTCTTGGACAGGACCAACTTCTACGCAGAACAGGGGGGCCAGGCTTCAGACCGTGGCTACCTGGTGCGGGTAGGGCAAGAGGTGAGTCTCCACCACAGCCCAGGCTGATTTCTGTGGGTGGCAGACCCAAGCCTGGGTGGGAGCCAAGGGGAGGGAAAGGCTACAGGCACTTTGACCCCTACCCTTCCCCAGGACGTGCTGTTCCCAGTAGCCCGGGCCCAGGTCTGTGGGGGTTTCATCCTGCATGAGGCAGTAGCCCCTGAGTGCCTACAGATCGGGGACCAGGTGCAGCTGCATGTGGATAAGGTAAGGATCCTCCCTAACTGTTCCCAATACCCTGCAGCCCTTCACTCTCCCCACCCCCTGCCCTCACCCAGGACCCTGGGTGACAAAAGTATTTCAGGCCTGGCGTCTAGCCTGCATGGCGAAGCACACGGCCACCCACCTGCTGAACTGGGCACTGCGGCAGACCCTGGGCCCTGGCACAGAGCAGCAGGGCTCCCATCTCAATCCTGAGCAGCTGCGCTTGGATGTGACCACCCAGGTGAGCCCGGCACAGAAAGACAGGCTTCATGTGAGGTGACAGGCTTAAAGAGAGACAGCCTGCTGTGAGCGGGTTGCCCTTAGAGGCCTGGGCTCTAGGCCCAGCACAGCCACCCAATCACTATGGGACCCTGGGCAAGTCCTTTCCCCTTGGGCTCCTCGTGCACCAGTGAGGAATCAGGCTACAGAGTAGCTAGGGCCTCACCCAGCTCTGATGTGGGATCCTGAAGGCCCTCCAGCAGGGGCCCTCCCTTCACCTCCAGCCACTCCTTCCTTGTTTCTACTGCCACCCGAGACATTCTTGCTCAAATTGGGCTGCCCTCTCCCTCTGCTGCCACCCTGTCTCCCTGCCCTTCTTACACATCTGGCTCAAATCCTTTCTCCAGGAAGTACTTGCTGGCTAATCCCCATCCCACCTGCTTATTCCCTGCCCCTGCATCCCCCCATCCTGTAGTTCTCTCTTCCATTGGGCTGCCCCTTGTAAGCTCCATGTGGGTACAGCCTCCTTTTTCTGTTTCTTCAACTTTTGGTGCCTAGTGAAAGGCCTGGAGCTTCCAGTAAGCCCAACTCCCAGATAGCTTTCTAAGGAAAAGAATTGTCTGCTCAGCTAGTGTTTATTGAGCACCTATCATGTGCTAGCCACTATTCTAGAACCTGGGGATAGCTCAGTGAACATTGACCATGTTTCAGTGCATCAGTTACAGGTGTGGGGCTGACTGCATGTTGGTCTTTCCATTTCCTCCCCACCCCTCCAGACCGCATTGACCCCAGAGCGGCTCCGGGCAGTGGAGAACACTGTGCAGGAGGCCGTGCAGCAGGATAAGCCTGTGTACATGGAGGAGGTGCCCCTGGCGCTCACTGCCCAGGTCCCTGGCCTGCGCTGTCTGGATGAAGTGAGTTGGGGAAGCCCTTTTGGTAGAGATCGGGGGCCTCCTTCAGGCATACCTGGAGGCTTTATCCTTCTCCTTTGGCAGTTAACGGGCCTGTCCCCTCTTGACCTCAGGTTTACCCAGACCCTGTACGGGTGGTGTCAGTGGGGGTACCCGTGGCCCATGCATTGGACCCAGCCTCCCAAGCCGCACTGCAGACCTCTGTGGAGCTGTGCTGTGGGACGTGAGTCACTCCTTCGTGCTGCCTGGCCCAGGGGCCCCAGATCCTCGCCCTTCCCTTGGTCTTTGGAGCCATCAGCCCTTGATGGGAGATGCACTCTGGCTTCTCCCTTGTCTCCTGTCGTGCGCCCTGACATTCTGTTCCCTCCTTCCTCCCACAGGCACCTGTTACGTACAGGGGCTGTAGGGGACCTGGTTATCATCGGGGACCGCCAGCTTTCCAAGGGCACTACCCGCCTGCTGGCCATCACTGGGGAGCAGGCCCAGCAGGTCAGCTTGCCAGTAGGCCTGGGACTTCTGGGTTGAGTGGGTGCATGGGACACACGCAGGTGACATGCTCGGGCTCAGGGGTGCCCAGCAGAAGAGCCAGCATTAATACTTGCACACCAATGTGGCCATAGCAGCTGTTGGCAGCTGGCATGTGTTTTATTTGGTGCTGGTGCCTTGACTGGTCTTGATTGTTATATCTTATTTGTCCCTGACCAGTAATGAGTTGAGAGGCCTTGTCCTGGGGAGATGAATGTAAGCCTGGCGGCCCTGACCCTCCTGTCCCCTCCCTGCAGGCCCGAGAGCTAGGCCAGAACCTGGCTCAGGAAGTGAAAGCAGCCACTGAGCGACTGAGTCAGGGGAGCCGGGATGTGGCAGAGGCACTGAGGCTGTCCAAGGACATAGGACGACTCATTGAAGTGAGGGCCACGCCTACTGTGGAGCTGTTCGCCACCCTCTCCTGGCCCTATTCCCTCCCCTATTCCTCCCTGGACCCCTCTAGACTCTCCCTAGCACTCCAATCGGGTTGGGCTCCAGCTGGCCCAGATGTTTGTCTACAGGGTGGGTGTCTTCCCTGGCCCTGCTGGTCCCTACCTCAGAGACTATGGCTCAGGGAAGGGCAGGGGTGATGCACTGCTTCTGGCCATAGGCTGTGGAAACTTCTGTGATGCCCCAGTGGCAGCGGCGGGAGCTGCTGGCCACACTGAAGATGCTGCAGCGGCGTGCCAACACTGCCATCCGTAAGCTGCAGATGGGGCAGGTGAGAGGAGGTTTGGCTGCACCCATGTGCCCAGAGACACTCCAGCACATATACTGAGAAGTCTCAAGGGCTGGGGCGTGGGGGTGAGTCTGAGGCTGTGCAAGGACATGGGGACGGGGTGGTGGCAGCTTCTTCCTTCTCCCGCCAGCTGAGAACCATCACCCAGGCCATTCCCCCACTTCTGTCTCTTTCAAACTGTGTTTCTCCCCCAACTCCCAAGTCTGGCTCAGGCCCCCCAACCCCGGAAGCCTGCTGACTTGATTAGTGCCATTCAGCCCTGATTACACCTCCACTGTGGATCCCCTTTCTCCCGCCCACTCCTGGTCCATCTGTGCTCTGACCTTCCTCCTTTCACCTTCAGCGACCTATTTGTAGGGGCCTGAAGCTATGATGAAAGGAAAGTGGCAAGGGAGATGAGGAAGGACACATGTGGGACCCAAAAAGGAGGCCACCCTAGGCAGAGTCCCTGCCCCCTCTGCCTAGAGCTGATGACCTTTGGGGTGGGTGGGGGAAGCAGGGGATTGCTTAGCTGGGTCTCAGTTCAGAGGTGGGGGCTAATTGGAAACTTGCCTCTCAGCCTGACCCCTCTGCTCATCCTTCCTGCCCCATAGGCTGCAAAGAAAACTCAGGAGCTGCTGGAGCGGCACTCGAAGGGGCCTCTGATTGTGGACACGGTCTCTGCTGAGTCTCTCTCAGTGAGTGCTGGCCAAGCGGGGCTGCCCCAGGGTCTGAGGAGGGCAAAGTCCTGACCAGGAGGTAGCTAGGGGTCTGGGAAGCTATGGGCTCACCATCTGTCTTTCATGGTCCAGGTGCTGGTGAAGGTGGTACGGCAGCTGTGTGAGCAGGCCCCCAGCACATCTGTGCTCCTACTCAGCCCCCAGTCCATGGGGAAGGTGCTGTGTGCCTGTCAGGTGGCCCAGGTGAGGGAAGTGGGAGAGCAGCCCACCACCCCCATTAATACCCATCCTGGTCCAGCTGTCTGATTCTACACCTTTAATTCTTCCCAGACAAAGGGGCCAAGGCTGGGTGGAGGTATCTATGAGAATACTCCAGGACAGGGATAGGGGAATCTCCTTGTTCCTAAAAACAGCCCCTCCCTACTCCAGAAAGCACCAGAGATTCCTTAATTACCAGCCCCTCCCAGGCCTCACATCCCTTGTAAACAAGTAGCAGATGTTCACATTCATAAACCTCCCCACACACATTTCCATCCCAAACCTTGTCCGACTTGTCACCCGACTGCCCCACCATGTGCCCAGCTGGGAAGCGGGCGCTGATCACCTTCAACTCCACTCTTGAGGGTACCTTGGGTGGATGCTGGCAGGGAGGGCCACTCTGCATCGCTTCCCCTTCTGATTCTGTTCCTAGGGTGCCATGCCCACTTTCACAGCAGAGGCCTGGGCACTGGCAGTGTGCAGCCACATGGGGGGCAAGGCCTGGGGCTCGCGAGTGGTGGCCCAAGGCACCGGAAGCACTACTGACCTGGAAGCTGCCCTCAGTACAGCCCGAGCCTATGCCCTCAGCCAGCTCTGACCCAGGCCCACCCGGGGACCCGCATGGACTAAAGGCAATGCCAGGAGCCCTGAAGGAGCCAGCAGAATCTTCCCACTGGCTGAAGCAAGGACTAGAGGCTGGAGGCCAAGCAACTGAACCAAAGAGGATCACCTGGGCCAGGCCCTACCTGACACAAGGAGACATGGGCTAGGGAAGGCAGAAGTGGGCCCAAAGACACACACCCCCTTGCTGAATGAGAAGACATGGGCAATTATGGCTGTGACTGCACATTAGAAATTATTTCACTGGCCGGGTATGGTGGTTCACGCCTGTAATCCCAGCACTTTGGGAGGCCGAGGCAGGATCATGAGGTCAAGAGATCAAAACCATCCTGGCTAACACGGTGAAACCCCATCTCTGCTAAAAATTCAAAAAAATTAGTCAGGCGTGGTGGCACACGCCTGTAGTCCCAGCTACTCGGGAGGCTGAAGCAGAAGAATCGCTTGAACCTGGGAGGCGGAGGCTGCAGTGGGCTGAGATCGCACCACTGCACTCCAACCTGGGTGACAGAACGAGACTCTGTCTCAAATAAGTAAATAATTTCACAGAGGACAGGAAGCTGCAGAGGTTCTGTTACTTTAAAAAAGAGTAGTTTTGCCCCTCCCAGCAACCTGGTATGGGTGCCCTAACACCAGTCTGAACTCACACTGTCTGAAAGGCCACCCAGGATCCAAATCAGGCCATCTTCATTGCCATGAGTGTTCAGACAGGCTCTGCGTGCCAGGCAACAGTGGGCCCTGACAAAGGGCTCCTTGGCTACTGGGACAACACGGAACCATCCTGTGAAAATCATTTCAGCAGTGGAGACCTTTGCTATCACTTCTTTCATTAGCAATGACCTCTAAATAAAATTAGGCCCTGCTGGTTTGTCGATGAGCAACTGAGAACGTGGCGGGCACCAAACACGATTCCTTCCTTCATGGAGCCTGCTTCTTGTGGAGGAAACAGGCAGTAAAGCAAAAGAAGAGGGTTAGGCTTGGTGGCTCATGCCTATAATCCTGGCATTTTACGAGGCTGAGGTTGGAGGATTGCTTGAGGCCAGAAGTGCAAGACCAGCCTGCGCAAACAGCAAGACCCTGTCTACAAAAAAAAAAAAAAAATGATCTTCCTGCCTCAGCCTCCCAAGTAGCTGAGACTACCCACACTTTGGTCCCAGCTACTTGGGAGGCTGAGGTGGGAAAATCACTTTAGCCCAAGAATTCAAGGCCACAGTGAGCTATAATTGCACCACTGCACTCCAGGCAACAGAGTGAGGCCCTGTCTTAGAAGGGAGAAAGTGTCAGATGGTGATGAGGTCTGGGGGGAAAAATAGATAATGGGGATTAGGAGTGTGGATGGTGGTATTCCCTCACCAAGAGGTGGCATGTGAGCAGGCAGCTGGGAGGTGAAGGTGTGACCCATGTGGAAATCTGAGGGAAAAGCATTCCAGGCTGAGGGAACAGCCAATGCAGATGCTGTGAGGTGGCCAGTGCCACTGAGCAGTGAGCTGCTATAGGGGCAGGTGATGAGGTTGGAGAGCGGGGTCAGACAAACTACACTTCTTAAAACAAGTTGTACAGCACCTGCCTCAAGCCTGAGCTAAAGCTGAAAATTGACACCTCAAAGCAGGTGGAAGCCAAGAAATGGAGGAAAGCCCTCCTTCCCTACTAGAATGAGTCCACCTCAGACAGCCAGATGTTGGACCTCTGCCTCTGTTCCTAGATCTCTGTTGCTAGATGAAGGAAAGGGCCCCAGGGGTACCAAGTTCTGTGTAGTAAAAATTCTAGCAGCGTGGGCCTGCCTGACATCATTTTCTGCACAGTTTCTCATTCTAATTAAGGCATAGATGATTTGCTGGTGAGGGCTTGAACGGACCCAATCCCTGGTGCCTGGCCCCTGGCTGCTTGCAAAGCTTTGCCTCAGCATCCTGGCCACTGGAGCAGTAGCCACTGTTCAGCAGTGCTCACCACAGGCCCTGGTCCAAGTTCCTCCGCGGGCGCCAAGATGAGTTGTGGCACCCCGATTTATTGATGAGTTAACAGAGCTTCGAGATGTACATCCAGGGTAACCAACTAGTAGTCCTCGGCAGAGCTGAAATCAAAGCTACCCTTTGAAACCTCCACCACCCTGGCTGCCTCTCCCTTCCTGAAGGCCACTTTCTTTTTTTACTAGCCGTCCCTCTGAAGTCTGTCCCTCTCACCCAGGAGATCAGGGGCCCCAACCACATCTTGTGGCGCCAGGGCTGGAAGGGTGTTTGGCACAGGGCATGGGCTGTGTGAAAGAGCACTCTGTTGGCCTGGAACCTTCCTGCGTCTGGTGCCAGATTTTCAGCCGGGGAAAAGGTGGACGGTGCCCTCCCGCAGGGCCTAAGGTCAACAGGAGACCTCAGGGGAGTTCAGTGACTTATACAGGTGCCCTGGAGAAGGTCCGTCCACCCTCATCTTCCACAGACGCTTTTCCTGGACCAGCTCCCTATCCATGGCCACACAAAAGCTAGCAATAGAGCACAAGGACTCCAGACCAGCAGCCTGCCCGACCTCCGCCTCCCGCAGAAAGCCCACCCGTTCCTAGACACGTCCCACGGAAGCACAGGGCATAGCTCAAGGCCACGGTCCCACTACCCCCAAAGCGGCCGCTTCCACGGAACCGTCCGAAGGGCTGGCCTCGCCACCCTGCGCGCGAGTGAGCCGCTTGCCGGCGCGCAGCTGTAGCCAAGGAAGCAGCAGCGCCCCCTCTGAACCGCGGCGCACTGGTCCTCCCGGCCCGGCCCGCTCCTAGCAACACGGGGCGTCCCCAACGACAATGACCGGCGCCGGCGCGCGGGACTCTGTGTGAGGCGAGCGCCGAGGCTCCCGAAGCGGGTGAGGCGACCTCGGGGGAGTGGGGACACACAGCCCCGGTCTCCCTTATCGGGGCCCGCTCAGGTCAGCTGGGCCCGGGAGCCCCTCTAGCGTCCTCTGCCCACAACGGCCAGAAGCCCACAGGCGGCCATTGCCTGGGTTCCGTTTTCTGTGGCGGGGAAGCGCCGGTCCGTACCCACAGGAGACCCCACGCCCTCCATGCGAGGACGCCCCGCGCCTCCTCCCCACCACAGTCACTGTCTGCAGACCGTCTGGCCCGGGGCTGGGTATCCGAGTGAGGCGAGCGGAGGAACTATGGGAAGAAGAGGGGGAAAATGGGGCATCCGTAGGGCGTGGAGGAGAGCGGTCCCAAGCCCTGGGGCCCCAGCCTTCTGCGAAAGGCCGTCCCTGTTCCCAGCACCCGAGGGCTGTAATCCCTCCCGCGTGTCCAGAAGCTTGCTTCCGCATCTCCCTCCCTCCCACTGCACTGCCGGTTTTCCTGGGTTACCAAGGAGAAACCAGCGCCTCTACACCCCAGGTAGGATGGGGGAGGGACCCCGTGGCCTTTGCAGCTGAGCTTCCCTGCTAGGGTGTCTGAGCTGAAGGTAAGGAGGGGTGGGAGCAGAACCGCTGGAGTCCCTTTTGAGACAACAGACCTGAGTGGTCAGGAGTTGGGAGGAGGCCAGCCCGGGGGCTGTGGTAAGTGAACTGGCGGTTTCACCTAGCCCAAGTCCAAGTACGCGGGCCGAGGCCCGGTTGGAGAAAGTTTTTTGCCCTTCCATAAATGGAATTCCCAACTTGGGAGTGACTTACCCCAAAGTAAGACATGGTGGGCATGAAAGAAATGGAGGTGGGTGTAGACAAAAGCCGAGAGTCCTGAGGACAGACGAGGGCTCTCCTGAGGGGATCTGGGATGGGAGTGGCTAAGAAGGCAGTCAGAGCAGTGGGTGCAGAGCCAGCTCCTGGGGAAGTGTCCCAGGCACAGAGGTGCTGTCTGCCCAAAGAGAACTGGGTGTCTCCACTTCTCGGCTAAGAGGAAGGGAGGTAAGGACAGTTGAGGACCAGGACTGTGATGCACAAGAAGGTGAGAATGCTCCCCTACAGCATCTTCCTCGTGTTCCCATTAGGGCAGGTGGAAGGAGCTCCTGCCCAGAATGGTTAGATTTAGCTGGGGACCTGAGGAAGGATGGAGAAGACCGGAGACTTCCTGTGGAGGGAATGTGCCAGGGGCAGGAGAGCACTACTCTGCAGCACTCCGTTGGGCTCCTCCGGCCCTCCAAAGGATGCAGGCAGTGGTCCAGCTTGCAGAAGGCTTCTGTGCCCAGCAGTGAACTGGAAGAGGGAGCCTGGACTATTTAGGTCAGCACCAAGGGGATAACCCTGGGCTCCGTGTTGGTGAACAAGAGAGCTCATGAGCTGGAGAAAGTGGGAGACTCACTGGAAAAGTGCTGTGAATGACTGAGTTGGGAGCAATTTATAAGCAACCCCAGCATCTCATGGAAGTAAGAGCATTAGACAGACACAAACTAAAACCTCAGCTTCTCCACTTACTAGCTAGTGACATTTAGTAAGTTACTTAAGCTTTCTAAGTTTCAGTTTCTTCATTTGTGAAACAGGGACAATAGTGTTAAATAATAATCCTCAATAATTAATTTCAGAATTTAATGAAATTATGTAAGTAAGCCATCTAGCATCTTCACCATATCTAACACACATCTTGAGTGCTGGCTCTGGGCCCAGCACTATATGAAATGTCTCACACACATTAACACCTTAATCTTCTGGATAATCCTATGAAATAGGTACTATTAAGTACTGTCCTCACATTATAGATGAAGAAACTGAGGCAAGCGGGGACCTGCCCAAGGTTGCACAGATAGTGGGGGGCACTGTGGAGATTTGACTTGAGGCAGCAGCTCAACTCCTGAGTACTTAGCCAGCTGCTGTCCTGCCTCCTGCTATGTACATGCCATTGAAGGCCTAGAGCTCTCAATAAATCATAGCTATATATAGCCAAGGGTATCGTTCCCAGAACACCTGTCCACCAGATTCAAGCCATCAGAAATGAGGACAACTCTGGCCAAACTGGAGCATCTTGTCACTTTCTATTACACGTGCTTGGGCATGGAAAGAGCAGTCCTTCACACCCGGTCCTTTGAGTTAATGGCCTGGTATGGATGTTGTTCCCTGTGTGTGATTTCAGGACCCTGGACCCTGGTCCTGAGGATGCACAGTAGGGGCCCAGGGGAGGAGGATTGTCCCTTCCCTAGGGACTGTGGTACCAGGTTAGAGACACAGCCATGTGAAGCCAAACAAGCTGGTAAAGGCAGGCCCCAGAGAAGTGAAAGTCCACTGCATGTGTCCCCACTTTCCCCCTCTGAGAGCACAGCACATCCTTGGATGGGGACACCAGGTGGTGGCACAAGACATACCCACTCCTGGTGGCCCTGACCTCTCTGGAATGTCAGGATTCCTGCCCTGCCCATGTTCAAGACTGGCGTCTTGAACGTGCTCCTAGTCTTCAAACTCTGGGATTCTCTGACTGACCCAACAGGTTCCCCAGGGAAGGAAAGCTCCAGAGAGGAAGGTGACCCTTCAGCCACCTCCAGGACTGCCCTGATGAAAATATTAAATTTTGTTTCATTTAGGGGGAAAATGCATTTACCCTAACAGGGATGAAAACTGTACATTAGGGCCCTGAAATTCCCATAGTAAAGTACCAAAGGCCTGGGCGCGCTCTCAGCCCAGGGAGGCCCTCCCCACTTTCCAAGGAGCAAGAATATTCTTTCTTCTTTCCTAGTGGAGGGCAGGAACAGCCAGGGGAAGGGGACATACTGAGTGACTGTGGAGGGGTAGTGTATTGTGACTAGAGGAGGAGACCTGCCCTCAGATGCTGGCCCCGGCTCTCATAGGTGTTTTAGGGCCAGTCATTTCCTGTTTCCTTGTTTCTTCATCTGTAAAATAGGGATAAGGAAGCCCATCCTAGCTCCATTATAGGGTGGTTGAAGAGTCACATGAGACTTTTTTTCTTTTTTAGAGATGGCATCTCGCTATGTTGGCCAGGTTGGTCTTGAATTCTTGGCCCCAAGCAATCCTCCTGCCTTGGCCTCCCAAAGTGCTAGGATTACAGGTGTGAGCCACCACACCCAGCCTTTTTTTTTTTTTTTTTTTTTTTTTCCTGAGAGGATAGTTCTGAAAGGACCTTGAAAGGACCTTGCAACTGTTAAGTGCTGGACAGTTGTAAGGTGCTGATACTGTCCCAGCCCTGGAGACATGGAATGTGACACTAGAGGCTCAATGTAGTCAGGAGAGGAAGAGGCCACAGGAGTGAATCAGGTCCTGTGAGTAATAACCTGGGGGCCTTTGGCCCTTCTCAGCTATCCCTTTGAACTCTTTCATCTACTGATTTAGGATTTTTCCCATAATTTCACTCACCAAACAGTGAGCCTTTTGGTCAAAATGGGGCAGGACCTTTTGGTCAGAAGGAGTAGAAACCCAACTCTTAGCTTTGGCAAAGGGACTTATTAGAAGGCTGCCAACTTAGCTCTCAGAGCTGAAGGCACTGCCAAGGAGCCAGACAGCTCTGGGAGCCTCCGGGACTAGGCATGGGGATCGAAGATACCAGGATGCTGTCTGGGTCTTTCGTTTCTGCTACTCTCCCCCAGGCTTGATTCCCTCCTGCTGCAAACAGACCTTGTAAGTGTGGAGAGAAATGACTTCCAGCAGCAGGAGATCCAGATCCTTCAAGGACACATGTCCTTCTGTCTCCCTCCACTTGGACAAATCTCAAGAAGGACTCTGATTGGCTTATATCAGATAGCCACCCCCAAACAAGTTGCCCTGACCAACAGGATACTCCTGTTGGCCAGAATCTATTATCAGAAGCCAGTGGAGCAGCCCCAAACACCAGCTACCTCGCCTAAAGCAGACCTACCACTGGGCTAGGAATTGGAAACAAAACTGAGGAGGAGACAGCCCCTCCACCTCGAGCAGCTCACAGTCTAGTGTGGGTGTGGTGAGAGGGTGGGCAGTCAGGTCACTGGAGTGATGCAGGTACTGGAAAGATGGGGTCTGACAATGGGAGGGGTTGTTTTGTGGCATCAGGGACAAAGAAGCACCTCGCCTTCAGAGAGGAAGTGGTGCTTGAGCTCAGACTCAGAAGACCAGTGATTGTCCCTTTCTCTGGCTGAGATGGTGGGAAAAGCATTTCAGAGGGAACAATTTGAGCAAGGGCTTGGCAGCATGAACTGGGCTGCAATGTCCCAGATGCAAAGAGGAGCTTATTTCTAACAAGGTGTCCAGCCACGGAGGGCCTCACACACCAAGGTGAGGAGGCTGGATTTTACCGTAAGCAGTGATGAGCCGCTAGAGGGCTTACAAGGAGCCTGCCACAGCGGCTGTGTGAAGGCTGGATGTGAGAGAACCAGACTGGATGCCAGAGACTACATGCCCAACAGCTGATGCTGTGATCCAGACAGACACTGAGGCCCTGAGCTAAGGCGGCAGCAGGAAAGGAGAGGCTGCCTGGGTGGGAGGCAGAACTGAATCAGTAACTAGATGGTGGGGTGGGGTGGGAGGGCTGGAAGAGAAGTGACTCCCTGGCTTCTGGTGCCAGCATCTGGATGGATTGAGTTTGAGGGACCTAGGCAGCATCCCAGTGGACTTGAGTCTGGAATGCAGATGTAGGAGAGTCTGGCATTACTCACACCACCACCCCGCAGCCTCACCATCCTGGTAAGCAGTACCCTCTGCTTCTCTGGGACGTCACAGTTAGGAAACCCCACCTGGAAGAGGTGAAAGCTAGAGTCCATCAGCAGGAATGAGTGGACGACCAGGGCAGAATTCTGAGGGACCTTGGCACATGGGGGATGGGCAGAGGGAGAGAAGTCTGTGGTGAAGACTTTTGGAAAAAGAATGGTCGGAAAGTAGGAGGAGAGCCAAGAGAGTGGCACACCAAAGGGTGGCCCCCAAGGGCAGGGGTCAGAACGTGGCCTGCCGAGGGAGGAGCCACACTGCATATCCTCCTCATAACAGTGATAGCGGGGCAGCAAGGAGTTCGTTTTGCTCGTTATCCTTTTAAATATACTGTGTTTTCTATTTTGTTAGTTTTAAAAGTAGATTTTTTAAAAACACTTAGAACTACGTGTTTTTTAGAACACTCCTTAGAAGAATCTTCTGTGTCTGGTAATAATTTGCCTGCCAAAATATTTTTGCGATATCCATTTTTTAAAAATCAAGAGATGATTAAATGAAAATTATCCACTCTGATCTTACGCAGTTAATTTTTTCAGCATTTGCCTGCCTTGTGGTATGGATGATCCTGTAAACGCTGAAGGTGGCAGGGGCTCATTTTTATACCAGCCATGCACACGGCAGCCATGTGATTTGGAGCGAGGCCCTGCCCCTTCCTTCTGAGAAGTTGATTCAGGGCCCTGGAACATGCCCCGATGGGTCCTGCTGTGTCATGCCCAGAGGCGGGCTGCAGGCACGAAACAGCAGCAAGAGCAATTAGGACCAGATGGCAGGAAGAACTCCAGGTCCTGAAAGTGAGGTGCTAGGCGGTGGGACTAGAGTGACCTCATTGCAGAGGCATCCCGCCTGGCCCCGGGTGGGGTTTCCCAGGTGTGGCTCCCCAGGAGAAGAAGGAGAAGGGACTGCCTGCCAGGATGCTGAGGCTGGATGGTGCTGTGAGGAATGACTAAAGAGCCAACTCCAGGGCAATGCATACCAGCAACCTGGGGCTCCCCCTGCCAAGCCTGGTCCTGCTCCCTGGGTGTGGCCCATGGGTGTCCAGGGACATATCTGGGACCAAGGGAAATTATAGAATGTTTTAGGCCAAAACCAAGCAGGAGTTGGTCTAGTCTGTTGCCTCTGACCTTCCTCCATTGTCTCTGTCGTGCTGTCTATGAGCCCTCAACACCACCCTGCCTCCTTGCCCTTCACATCGATCCTGGAAATAGGGAAGGACCTCAGAAACACTGCACTCATCCAAAGATACCATCTCAGGTCAGCATTCAAGAAGCGGGTCTCCAGGATGTGTTCTCTCCAGGCTCAGACCCCTGCCCCTCATAGTACCTTCATTATCCACATACCCCTCCTATATTCTTTACAATGATCAATATTAACCGACCATTATCTCAGGGGGATCTCCACTACAGCCCATGTAGGAAGATATTATTATCCAGTTTCACAGATAAGAAACTGAAGCTCAGATAGGTTAAGTAACTTGGCCAAGGTCACAAAGCACATAACTGGCAAAGTCAGAAATGCAAAGTCAGCAGGTACCGCTAAGCAACAACCCCCTCCAGCCCTACACTCTGAGAGGCCATTAGTCAAAAAGCACGATCTGGTTATTCCACAATTCTGGACACAATCTGTGTGTGAATTTGCATTTGATTTGCATAAGGGATGTCACAATACCTAGATATCTTTCCTGCACTATCCCTCTCCCCGCCACCTGCCTCTCAACCAGGCTTTTCCTCCTTGAGATGCCTGGCAGGCTGGGGAGCACCATCTGGTCCCTCCCTCTGCCAAGGACGCCTTTGCTGGTTCAGAGTGTTCCCTCCCACCGGCCACTACCCAGTGCACTGAGTCGTCAGGGTGCACATCTGATGGGAAACTGCCTGGAGGAGGAGCTAAGTGCCAGCAGCCCCATTTCCTCCTGCAGATCTCAGGGCAGGAGTGCAAGGGTACAGGAATGGGCAAATGGGGGAGGGTCCCCGGACCAAGACACATCCTCTGTCTTCTGTCTTCAGCCCCAGATTTAGCTACCTTCTCGCCTCCCACGCCTGCCCGCTGCTGTCTGGAATGCTGGGAGGCTGGAAGAGCTAGAGGCAGACTGGATGGGGAGATGGAAGGGAAGGGACCTGGAGCTTGAGCTCTCAGTGGGAAGGAGGAGAGGAGGCTGCGGGCACCCTCGTCCCGGGCATGGGTCTCTTTCCCCTCTCCTTTCTCTCTCAACCTGCACTTTCCAAAACGGTAGCCACAGGCTTAATGTGCCCATTGAGCCATCAGATTTTGAAGACTTCATATGAAAACATAGTATATAAAATATCTCATTAATAATTTTATATTGATTATATGATAAATAACATTTTAGACATACTGGGCTAAATATAAAATTAATTTCATGGTCAGGCACTGTGGTTCACGCCTGTAATCCCAGTACTTTGGGAGGCTGAGGCGGGTGGATCACTTGAGGTCAGGAGTTCGAGACCAGCCTGGCCAACATGGTGAAACCCAATCTCTACTAAAAATACAAAAATTGGGCCGGGCGCGGTGGCTCAAGCCTGTAATCCCAGCACTTTGGGAGGCCGAGATGGGCGGATCACGAGGTCAGGAGATCGAGACCATCCTGGCGAACACGGTGAAACCCCGTCTCTACTAAAAAATACAAAAAACTAGCCGGGCGGGTGGCGGGCGCCTGTAGTCCCAGCTACTCAGGAGGGTGAGGTGGGAGAATGGCGTGAACCCGGGAGGCGGAGCTTGCAGTGAGCTGAGATCTGGCCACTGCACTCCAGCCTGGGCAACAGAGCGAGACTCCATCTCAAAAAAAAAAAAACAATACAAAAACTAGCTGGGTGTGGTGGCGGGCACCTGTAATCCCGGCTACCTGGGAGGCTGAGGCAGGAGAATCACTTGAACCCAAGAGGTGGAGGTTGCAGTGAGCCAAAATCACACCATTGCATTCCAGCGTGGGCAACAAGAGCAAGACAGAAAAAAAAAAAAAAAAAAAAAAAAAAAAAAACTACTAATGTCACCTGTTTCTCTTTACTTTTTTTTTTTTTTTTTTTTTTTTTTTTTTTTTTTTTTTGAGACAGAGTTTTGCTCTATCACCCAGGCTGGAGTGCAGTAGCGCAATCTTGGCTCACTGCAACCTCTGCCCTCCAGATTTAAGTGATTCTCATGCCTCAGCCTTCCGAGTAGCTGGGACTACAGGCACCTACCACCATGCCCGGCTAATTTGTGTATTTTTAGTAGAGATGGGATTTCACCATGTTTGGCCAGGCTGGTCTCGAATTCCTGACCTCAAGTGACCCACCCACCTTGGCCTCCCAACGTGCTGGGATTACAGGCATGAGCCACCACGCCCAGCCTTGTTTCTCCTTACTTTTTAAAATGTGGGCACTAAAGAAATTAAAATAGCATATGTGGCTTGCATTTTGGCTTGCATTATATTTCTGTTGGCCAGAGCTGTTCTCAACCCCATCCTACGGATCAGGCAGTTGCTGTTCTATAAAATACTTAGTGCAGGGTCCTGTTTTGAGTTGAATGGCTCTTTATTATACCTGTATTTTGGCAATATACACCCCTCACCCTCAGAGGGCCAGTCCAATGTAGGGTTCAGAGCATGAATTTGACAGACTGAATTTAAACCCACCCGTAATATTTCTAAGCTGCATGACATTGGGCAAGTCAATTCGCCTCTCTGTGCTTTAGTTTCCCAGCAGAAAAATGGGAATAATACAAGTGCCTATCTGAAAAAGGCTTTTCTGAAAAAGGTTTTTCTGAGGACACATGAATTAATAGGCATAAAGAACTAAAAAGATTGTCTGGCACAGAGCAATTACTGTAATTGCTATAGAGCTATTATCTAAAATTTTGGGCTGCTCCTTGCTAGTTTCATGTGTCAGATAATATATTATGCCCTTTGGATGCATTATTTTATCCACTCCTCCAAATAATCCTACTGGAACTGCGACCTTCATTTCTAAGAGGCAGCATCTGAAATTCAGAGAGGTTCAGTAACTTGCCCGAGGTCACACAGATAACCAGTGGATGTGTACCTGGATCTGCTTCACTCCAGGGACTGATCCTTAAGCACTATTCTGTACCACCTCTCTTAGTAAATGCCCACCAAGACCCTCCAAAGTAACACCACTACCTCTTCCTTTTGCTCCAGATCCCTACCTGTATCAAGGACCTGCCAGTCTGAGAAGTTTCTTGTCATAAGGCCATCCAGGGGCCACCTGCCCCTACATTACCAGCCTCCAGCATGCAGGAGACCGTAACAACATCAGCATTGTTGGACCCCAGCCACTCCTCAGTCTCCACCCAGGACAAGTCCTCCACTGGCGGACACACTTCAAGCACAGGCCCACAGCCCTCAAAGCCTTCAATCACACCAGTCTCTGCAAAGTCCAGAAACCCACATCCTGGGGCCAATTTCCATCGGATGCGCCGGATCATTGCTGAGGATCCTGAGTGGTCACTGGCCATCGTGCCCCTCCTCACAGAGCTCTGCATTCAGCACATCATCAGGAACTTCCAGAGTGAGTCTGTCCCTGCTTTGGGTGGGAAGAAGAAGGCCAAGAGTGGGGCAAGGTGGGTGGGGACTCTCTGGAGCCAAGACTGCAGAACCTGGGTCCTGGGGCAGCCCCTGCTCTCCCGTATGGCATCCTCATACCTACTCAACACTTCCCTTCCACCCAGGGCCAAGGCAGTTTCTCCTTCTGTTCCCACTGGCAGATCCCACCAGGCTCCCACCCACACTGCACCCGCCATGCCTCTGCCCTCTCCTTGCCTTTTCCACTCTCTCCAACAAAACTCAGCCTGAGCCATATCTACTTCCTTCTCCAGAAAGCCTTCCCAAGTGAACCACCCTCCACTCTGATGGAGTCTTCCATGCCATGTAAGGTCTCTTGGTTTGTTCCATATTTTGTGCTCTGTAATATGGATCCTTTCCAAAGATGGGTTGACAGCCTCTCCTACCAGATGGAGCGCTGTCTGAGGACAGGGCCATTATTTCATCTCCAGCAACTATTGTCACCCAGTCTCACTCATTTTACTTGTTTATTGTCAGCCTCCCCTCACTGGATGTAAACTCCAAAAGGGAAGAGCCCTGTTTTGCTTACTCTTATATCTCCAGCACGTGGGACATAGTAGTCTCTCATAGTGGTACCTCCAGTTTCTGGCACATAGTGGGTGCTCAAAAAATTTCTTGTTTTGAAATGGATGAATCAAATAAGATTGGAAGCCTCTGACCTCAGGAATTGTATTCCCCATCAGACCAGGTGATAATTGAGAGTTGGACCTGAGAGTCTTCCTCAGTTTGGGAGCTCCCTGAGAACAGATGCTGAGATGTCCCCCTTCAGGCAGGGAACATCCCAAAGCTAAAGGCTGGTGTCCCACCCTCCCCCTGATCTCCCCTGAGAGGAGAGGCTGTCTATCCCCTAAGCAGGGAAGGGTCTTCCCTTTGCCTGGTGCTCCCAGGCAGGCCCAGCCTGAGGCATCATGTTGAGGTGTCCCCCAACACTGTGACCCCATGCTTTCCTTCCTCTGTTCCCAAAGATAACCCTATCCTGAAGCAGATGCTCCCGGAACACCAGCAGAAGGTCCTGAACCACCTGTCCCCTGACCTACCACTGGCTGTGACCGCCAACCTGATAGACAATGAGAACTACTGGCTCCGCTGCTGCATGCAGCGCTGGCCCGTGTGCCACGTGGCCCACCATGGCGGCAGCTGGAAACGCATGTTCTTCGAGCGGCACCTGGAGAACCTGCTAAAGCACTTTATCCCAGGCACCACGGACCCCGCGGTGATCCTCGACCTGCTGCCCCTCTGCAGGAATTATGTGCGCAGGGTCCACGTCGATCAGTTCCTTCCGCCGGTGCAGATCCCGGCCCAGCTCCGGCCAGGCGACCAGTCGGACTCAGGCAGCGAGGGAGAGATGGAGGAGCCCACCGTTGACCACTATCAACTGGGCGATCTGGTAGCTGGCCTGAGCCACCTGGAGGAGCTGGACCTGGTGTACGATGTCAAGGACTGCGGCATGAATTTCGAGTGGAATCTCTTCCTCTTCACCTACCGCGACTGCCACTCCTTGGCAGCTGCCATCAAGGCGTGCCACACCCTCAAGGTACTGTCTGCTCCCAGCCTTCCCCCCACCCCTCCTCCGCATCTCTCAGATTCCCTCTCCCCTCCTCTTCCTCCTCTATTGTTACCTTCTTCCCATTTCCTTCTCTTTCATTGGCCAAGTGTTTTTTTTTTTGTTTTTTTTTGTTTTTTTTTTGTTTTTTTTTTTGAGACGGAGTCTCGCTCTGTCGCCCAGGCTGGAGTGCAGTGGCCGGATCTCAGCTCACTGCAAGCTCCGCCTCCCGGGTCCACGCCATTCTCCTGCCTCAGCCTCCCGAGTAGCTGGGACTACAGGCGCCCGCCACCTCGCCCGGCTAGTTTTTTTTGTATTTTTTAGTAGAGACGGGGTTTCACCGGGTTAGCCAGGATGGTCTCCATCTCCTGACCTCGTGATCCTCCCGTCTCGGCCTCCCAAAGTGCTGGGATTACAGGCTTGAGCCACCGCGCCTGCACCCTGCACCAAGATACACAGTTCTGGGGGTGTAGAGATGAACAAGGTGCTGCTCTTCCAGTTCACCAGTTTGTTTCATTGAACAAACATATGCACTCCAGGCCCTGTCCTAGGTGCTGAAGATTCAAGGATGAGCAAGATTGTGCCATTTGTGCCCTCTGTAGCTTGATGGGATAAAGGCACTAATTATCAATCATATAAACATAAAATTGATACTAGAATAGGGTTGCCAGATTTAGCAAATGGAAATACAGGACATCCAGTTAAATGTGAATTTCAGGTCCAGGCACGGTGGCTCACACCTGTAGTCTTCCAGCGACTGAGGAGGCTGAGGTAGGAGAATGCCTTGAGCCTAGGAGTTCAAGCCTGCAGTGACCTGCAATCACACCACTGCACTCCAGCCTGGATTACAAAATGAGACCATCTCCAAAAAATTTGAATTTCAGATAAAGAGCAAATAATTTCTAGTATATGTCCTGAATATTCCATGGGGCATTCTTATTTATCTGAAATTTATATTTAACTGGGCATCCTGTACTTTTTTCTGGTACCCCTGAATTGTGATGAATGCCACAAAGAAGAGATACTCTTATGAGAGATTATAAAGGAGCATTTGACCTTGCAGGGGAAGGCTTCCCTGAACAAATGTCACTTACATAGAGATTAGAAGGAGGAGTAGGAGTTATAGTCTCAGAGGGAGGAACATTCCAGGCAGAGGAAGCAGTGCATACAGGCTCTATGGGCAGAGTGAACTTGGCCAGCTCAAAGAGAAAGAGAAGACTGTGTGGCTGGTACAGAGTATGAGGTGGTCAGCCTTGCTGGGTAAAGGAGGCCTTGTCCAGGAGGCTGTCTTTATCCTTAGGAGCTCTGGGACACCATCCAAGTGTTTTAGGCAAAAAGGTAGGTACCATTACTGGATTTCACACGTGAAAAGGTCACTCCGTCTGTGAGGGATGATGGCCTGGGCAGGGTAGCAGTGGACGTGCAGATTACCTAGGAGATCATTGCCAAATCCAGGTGAGGGTGAGGGTCATTTCAGCGAGGGTAGTGTCTGTGGAGTCTCAGAGGAGTGGAGAGAGTCAAGACATATTTAGGCAGACATGTGTCTGGCATGCATGGGCCACACTGGCATAGGGAGGATCTGAAGGAGAAGGAAGGAGAAGGAGGTGAGGTGCAAGACGTCTGGCTTGTGAGGCTGGATGGCTGGAGGGGCCATTTGCAGAGACAGGGAATGTGGGAAGAGGATCGGTTTTGAGGGGAAAGAGTGTAAGTTTCAGTTAGAGGCATCTCAAAGAAGGGGTCATTTTGTTAGTCGGGTAGAGGGTCCGAAGCTCAGATGAGAGGTCTGAGTTGAATGTGGAAATGTATGCCGTCTTCATGAAGGTGGCAGTTGCAGCCCTGGATTTGGATGGAGTCTCACAGGGGAGAGCCAAAAGCAAGACAAGGAGAGGCCTGGCATGTGGTCTTAGTGGAAGAAGAGCTTGCCAGGAAGCCAGAGGGAGGAGGAAATGGGGGACATGGCATTGTGTCACAGAGCAAGGGAGGGGTATGTTTCAAGTAGAGGGAGTGAGCAACGGGGTGGAATAGAGCTGAGGACTGGATTTAGTGAACGTGGAGGTCACCGAGGGGGAGCTATTTCAGTGGAGTGGCAGGAACAGAGGCCAGATAGCAGTGGTGTCTGGGGAGAGTGGGAAGTGAGGAATGGGTGGCTGTGATCAGCTCTTTCAAGAACTTGGCTGTGAAGGGGGAAAGGTACAGCCATAACAGATGAGAGCTTTGGGTTCCTTCAGAATAACTCACACATGTTTAAAACCAGTGTAAGGTTCCATCCAGTTGCAAGAAAGGGGATGAATGTAGAAGAGAGGCACAGGTTCATAGACCAATAAGTCAGTGCTTGGTATCAGGAAAATGACAGGTTCCCATTCAATGGCTGGGAAGGCAAGAGGAGAGTTCACCTGCTGAAAGAGGGAGCTCAGCAAGGAGGCCCCTGAATTATGAGGAGGCTGCAAAAAGCTGAAATAGTTGTTGTAGATTATAGGCAGGTATTTTGGCCAGAGAAATATAGTTAGATTGGCATGCAGCGTTACAAGCCTATTGGTGGTTCCAGTGATAGCAACCAGTCCCGTCAGCTGATGTTTTCTATTTTGTCAGTTGCTTGCGCACAGGCATGCAGAAAATAGAGAGTGGGGCTGATCCAGGGTAGGGCTTTGCCAGAGAGATGCAATGAAAAGAGAAGAGACACAAAAGACTCAGCTGGGTAAGAGGAGCATAAAGAGGAGTGAACTGAAGGGTAGGGAGAGAGAGGTCAGACACTCAGAGGTCTCAAGGGAGAGAGAGGAGCAGGACAAGCCAGCAGGAAGGTGAGGGGGAGAGGCTCCCATGGACAATATTCATACTGCCAGCCCCATCCCCTTTCCTTCATTCCTTTATCTCATCCTTTTCCTGCTTCTCCACCTCCCCACTTTCTCCCTGGTTCTTGCCCTGGCAACCTCCTTCAAAGAGGTCCTCTCCTTGCCCTGGTGGATCTTGGCTGGCAGAGGAGGATGCAGTGAGCGGCTGAGGCCTCAGGCAGGCTTGGATTCCAAACCTATCTCCACTGCTTCAATCACTGTATTACTCTGGGGAAATAATGTAAACCTCCATTTTCTATCTGCAAAATGGAGAGAACTTTCTCTTCTTCACTGAGATGCTGAAGGTTAGAGATAATGGTTATGAAAGACCCAAGCGACCAGGCGTAGTGGCTCGTGCCTGTAATCCCAGCGTTGTGGGAGGCCGAGGCAGGTGGATCATGAGGTCAGGAGATCAAGACCATCCTGGCTAACACGGTAAAACCCCGACTCTTCTAAAAATACAAAAAATTAGCCAGGTGTGGTGGCGGGCGCCTGTAGTCCCAGCTACTCGGGAGGCTGAGGCAGGAGAATGGTGTGAACCCGCAAGGCGGAGCTTGCAGTGAGCCGAGATCGTGCCACTGCACTCCAGCCTAGGTGACACAGCGAGACTCCATCAAAAAAAAAAAAAAGGAAGAAAGAAAGAAAAAAGAAAGAGCCAAGCATGTAGTAATTGCTCAATAAACAGTGATCTTTCCTCCCTGCTACCTGCCACCAATTCTACACTACTCTGCCATGCTGGTAGGCCTGGCCCCCTCCATGACCTAACCAGGTGGCCAACACTAGGTGAGCCAAGTTTGCCAAAGATCTAGGTGGGCAGGCTGATTATCCCTGGTGCCATAGACCCTCTGCCTGCCCACAGATCTTCAAGCTGACCCGAAGCAAGGTGGATGATGACAAAGCACGCATCATAATTCGAAGTCTTCTGGACCACCCAGTCCTTGAGGAGCTGGACTTGTCACACAACCTCATTGGGGACCGTGGTGCACGAGGTGCTGCCAAGCTGCTGAACCACAGCCGCCTGCGTGTGCTCAACCTGGCCAACAACCAGGTGCGTGCGCCTGGTGCCCAGTCGCTGGCTCATGCTCTGGCACACAACACCAACCTCATTTCCCTCAACCTACGTCTCAACTGCATCGAGGATGAGGGTGGCCAGGCTCTTGCCCATGCCTTGCAGACCAACAAGTGCCTCACCACACTGCACCTCGGTGGCAATGAGCTGTCTGAACCCACCGCCACACTCCTGTCGCAGGTGCTCGCCATCAACACCACACTCACCAGCATCAACCTGTCCTGCAACCACATCGGGCTGGTGAGCCACCTACTCTGGGCTTGTGAGGGTGGGTGTGGAATCCGACTGCCAGGAGTACTTGTGGGATAATTGTGAAGATCACAGACTTTACATACTACATACCGCATCGAGTATGCACACATACTGTGTATCCCAGTGATTATTATTTTTCCTTTAATCCTTACAGTTACCTAAGTAACTGTATATTAACCCTAAGCGTATTTAACTCTAAATATATTTAAGTATATAACTAAGTATATTTAACCCTACTTTCTAGATGGAACACTAAGTCTGAGAGGATTATGAATTGCCCAAGGGCATCAAGTCAGTAGAAAGTGGCAAGGCTGTGGTTCAAATCCAAGATTGATTGAAAGCCTGAGTCCTTTCTAATAGACTGTATCTCTCAAACTTTCTTAACCAAGTCTGAGAGTAAGAAATGCAACTTATGACCAGGCACAGTGGCTCACGCGTATAATCTCAACCCTTTGGGAGGCTGAGGTGGGTAGATCACATGAGGCCAGGAGTTTGAGACCAGCCTGGCCAACATGGTGAAACCCCATCTCTACTAAAAATACAACAATTAGCCCAGTGTGGTGGCATGCACCTGTAACCCCAGCTACTCGGGAGGCTGAGGCAGGAGAACTGCTTGAACCCAGGAGGCAGAGATTGCAGTGAGCTAAGATCATGCCACTGCACTCCAGCTTGGGTGACAGTGCAAGACTCCATCTCAAAAAAAAAAAAAAATGCAATTTACATGAACACCAACATAAACATAATTTTGAAATTTATGACTTGTGATATATGCTGATATTTTCCTTTACATTCTACTCTATTGTATTTTTAAATGCTTCTGTGACCCATTAAATTGACTTTGCAACACACTGCTGGGTCACAACCACAGAATGGTGGCATTCTGCCTCCCAACATGAAATTCTTTCACATTGGGGCTAGCCCACCCAACCCAGCAGGGGTTGGAGCTGTGATGACCATTGAGCGGGGCCCTCCGTTAGGTCACTGAACCCTCTGCTAAACCTCCCCATGAGAACCTTGCTCACCTACACAGGCACATACACACATGTGCATGCACACACACACACATACACACACACACAGACACACACACACATTTTCTAGAGGTGGTGCTGTTGACTGCAAGTAATAAAAAGCTTAACCAGAAATGGCCTTAAGCAGGAGGAATATTCAGTGTCTCCCACAACCAGAATTAGAGGGTTGTAGGGTTGGTAAACCCCTGGGTTCAGTGCCACCCTCTGCTCTGCCCACCCCAGCCTCGTGGCTAAGGCCTCTCTAGTGCTTCTCTCGGTCCCAAGATGGCTGCCACAGTTCTGACATCTCACATAGGGACATGCCCAGAGGCAGAAAACAGGAGAACACCTGCTCCCTTTTCTTCTCTTTTTGGAGTGAGGAGAACCTTCCCAGAAGCCACCCCCTCTCAGCTTCCCCCTCGCATCTCATTAGAGTTGTCCCACATGCCCATGGCTGAACCAAAGGAATGGAATTCTCATCATTGCCAGAGATTCATGTTTTTCAAGCTAGTAGGGTTGAGAAATCAATTTAGTGGGTATTGGCTACCATTTTTCAAATGGAAAAGAATAGAATATGTCAACATGCGTCACAAAAAGGTTAAGTATTGTTTTGTGAAACTTTATGTTTTAGTCACATCTACATGAAAATGTGTAGTTATGTATGTCAGATCCTGGGTAGTGATGTATATGACCCCTTCCTTTGCACCCTTCTCCCAGGACGGTGGGAAGCAGCTCCTGGAAGGCATGTCGGACAACAAGACCCTCCTGGAATTTGACTTGCGCCTGTCAGATGTGGCCCAGGAAAGCGAGTACCTCATTGGCCAGGCCCTCTATGCAAACCGAGAAGCAGCCCGCCAGCGGGCCTTGAATCCCAGCCACTTCATGTCAACCATCACTGCCAATGGCCCTGAGAACTCTGTGGGATAAAATGACCTGACTTGGATCATGGCCCCAGCCCTGTCCCTCATTTCATACCCCTGCCATGCCTGCTGCAGACTATCACTCTGGTTCAGAGGGAGCAGGGAGGGGGACCGTGAATATCCTTGGAGTGATCAAGGGTTGTATGGATGGAGACATGAGGCAGGAAAGGGAGACTGGCATGGGGGAAGAAAGGGTATGCAGTAGGAACCCAGCCCCTGTGCCCAGGGAAAGGATATTACTGAACCCCCACAAATGACCAACTTCTTCCAGGAATAGGGAAGTCAGAGAGGTGTGTGAGGGACTGTGCCTGCCAGATTCTCCCACGGGGGCTGCCTGCCTCCCTGACTCCCCTCCCCACCATTTTCTTCTCTACCAAACAGATCCTTGATCTTCAAACACACACGCACACACACACACACACGCGCGCACGCTCTGGCTACAGCAGACCTATGTCTGGCTCTCTTTGCCACCCTCAGCCCTGTAGATGCATTTCCCTGTTGCTTGACTCTGCTTTAGGTGATCCAGTTCTATAGGCCACTCCATCCTCTATTTCCCCAACCCCCAACCTGGGACGGGGACAACGAAATGACACCAGGGACTCAGACCCAGTGGCCTCCTCTGGGGAGGCAGCTGTAGATGACGACTTCCAGGGAAGGATGACACGATTCCTGCCACCCACCCCAGAGAGCTTCCCTGGGAGGGAGGGAAAGAAGTGCCACACTGGGACAGGAAGTCAGTGAGTCATCCACAACTTTATTATCCACCAGTTTGATTTGTACAATCTTTGCGCTTAAATCCACGACAAAAAGGCCACAGTGTGATGCACCCAATTGACAGAGACCTGTCTTCTCCCCAGCCAGGCCCAGCCCACCCCACAAGCCCTTGTCCCCAGGCCACATGGAGCCTTCTAGGTGCCCTCCATGAGTCCCCATCACTCTGTAGCTGTCCACCCTGGGGCCACACCTACAGGAATCACATCAGCCCCCAGGGCCACAAGAGACCTAGCTGACTGATTCAGGCTGAGCGCCATTCCCCATCCTCCTCAGGCTGATTGATTGGCCCAGAGCCTCCAGAACTGTGTCCCCAAAGGGCAGGTCATGGGCTACAACCCCAATCCAGGAGTGCCTGCTCTCCAGGGACTCCTTCCACTAAGCAGACGCTAAGCAGAGCACCAAAGGGGGCTTGGGAGTGACTGCATGTGTATGCCTGTCTAGGCAACCTAGAGTCTGTCTGTGCCTGACACCCTCTGACAGTTCCAGAGTGCAAACGTGTAGGTGTGAGGGTGTGTGTGTGTATAGCCACGGCTGCTAGCAGAGGTTCTAATTAGAGAAACAAGAACATTCAGTGTAAAGTTTAATTTTAGAGATTAATTTTCTGGTTTTTGTTTTCCCTGGCAATCAATAAAGCTACCAAGAAAATAGACCAAAGAATTGGTTTCTCTCTAAGTCTGTGCGTGTGTGGGAGATGAGGCTGTCTGAGACGACCTAGGCAGAAATGGTCAATACAGGCAAAAATAATAATAGAGGCCCCCCTTCCCCTCTTCTGAGACCAGGCTCTGTCTCAGGAACAGGCCTGAGGGAGGAGGAGCCATGTTCCTCCTCCCCTGGAGCCCTGAGGTGGCCAGGCTGTCCCCACACAGAGCATGACATCCGGGTGCCAGCTGGCTAAGAAATGGAGCCTGAGGCCGCAGCTCACCACCTGTACCTCACAGATGTCCATCAGAGGAAAGAAGGGTGCTCCAAATGCCAGGCCCCCAAGGAGCACAGACTCGGGATCCAGGCAGGTTCAGTGCTGATAGGCAGGTGGGCACTACTGCCAGGGAAACCTGGTGGGCAGCCGTTTCCCCTGCCCAAGCCTCTCTCTCTCTCGTCTCTTCTCCCTCCTCACTCAGCCATCTCTACCTGAAAGTAAAGCTAAACCCTTTAGAAGCCATGGGCCATGGTATCCCCACAATTTGGGCCCCTCTCCCTAGGAAGAAGGGAAGGGGAGCCAGAGGTGATGTTGCATAGGTGGTGGCCACACAGTTGGTGGTGCAGGCCTGGCTGGGCTGGAGGAAGATGACAGGGGCTGAAGGAGGGGAAGGAGGAGTTCTGATGGCTCAGGCGAATGTAAGCAGCATCAGGGGTGAGAGATGTGGGTGGCCCAAGGGTTATCCTCTCTAGCCTGAAATGTGAGCTCAAGCCCTGGGCACTAAATCTGCTGGGGAGACTTTAGCCAGGGGAGTTGGGAGGGCAGGAGGGCTGTTCACAGACATGCACACTGAAGCACACTGGGGTGGAGGTGGTGGGGTGCGCACAGGGAGAGAAGGCGGTGTCAGAGCTTTAGGGGAACAGGATGTGGGGCCAGCACCCTGGGGTGGTGGCAGGATGCCCCTTTGAAGACCCTGGGACACACAGCAGGGCTTCAGCTCATAGGATAGGGGAGGATGGAAGGGTTGGGCAAGATTTAGAGAATGCTTGCCTCTGACCCTGCCATTGGAATTATTTCTCCAGTTGGGACTTGTGACAACGTCCTCAGCCCCCCGAGATGTGTTTGAGGGAAAAGCACGCTCCACTCCTCTGCACAGGTTTAGGGAGGCAAAGACCGCCCCCACGGACACCCCACCTTTGGAAGTCCTTTCCTCTACCCTCCACTACCCTCTTCTCTCTTACTCCCACCTGCTTCCAGAGGTCCCCGTTGTCACCCAGGTCTATATCATGCTCTCTCCCCTTAGTCACTCGCCCTGACCAGCTTTAACAAGTGCCGCCCGGGTGTATCTCACACTCTCTAAAGGGAGTACACACCCAGAACCCAGGTGAGGAGGCCCCTGCCGGGAGGCTGCAGAGTTTAGAGAAAGGACTGAGGTACACAGCCCTCCACATTTCACTCTCCTCCCCACTGCACCCTGGCAACAGCTCTGCAGGACCAGGGAGCGGGAGATGAGTGCCGTCCGTGCGGTGAGCACAGTTCCTCTGGACCTGGAGTGGGGGCCCAGTTAGATAAACAACAGCGGAAGGAGCGGCAGAAGGGAAACCCCAATCTTGGGGTCAGCGCCAAGAAGAGGGCAGCAACATTTCCACGGTGTTGGATGGAGGCTTGGGGCTGACACCTGGCCCCAGCCTCAGACCCGCTAAATGCATTAGCTAGTTGGAATCCAGCCTGCTGGTCACCAAACCACTGCTCCCTCCATAGAGAGAGGCCCCAGGGGAGTGAGGCCACGGAAGAAGGAAAACCCCAAGTTCCCTTCTCCACAGCCTCTAAATCTCCCAGCCGCACGCCAGGGCCTCTCCCTTCAGACAAGGCCCAACGCGGGGCCCACGGTGCGGTTGTCATCTAACAGTCAGAAGATCTGTTGAAGGGCTGGACAGGAGGGAGGTGTCCCTTTAGGAACTCAGGGGTGGGGCTGGAAGAATGACTCTGCCAGGGGGATCTCGGGAAGCAGCCGACCCCCTCCCACCCATCGGTCTCTTTATGTACAGGGACGACAGGGGTCTCGGCCCCATCCGGGTCTGTCTTGCGGCCCTCACCTCCCTTTCCCTGCCCCCCGCGCGGCCTCAGTCACCGTGATGACTCGCCCTGCGTCGCACAGGGAGCACAGTCCGGCGAGGGGCAGGCGGGAGGGCGGCGCGGGCCACGCCGGGGACGGAGGTCACAGTGAGGTCTCTACGCAGGAGCCGTGGCGGTGCAGCGGCCGGTGGCTGTGGCCCAGACACCCCTCCTGCCGGTGGACGATGAGGACTGGAAAGTAGAGGGCGTCGTGGTAGGGCGGCGGAGGCCCGGCCTCCTCCTCGTCGTCGTCCTCGTCGTCCCCCATGCTGGCCTGGCTGGACAGCCGCGTCTGCTCCGTGGGGCAGCTGGCCTCGTTGACGCTCCCGCTGCGGCTGCGCCACAGGCAGCTGCGTCGGGAGCCGTAGAGACGGCCGAGCGAGAAGCGGCTGCCCCCGCAGCCCGCGCCCCCACCGGGGCCCGGGCCGGCCCGCGGGCTGGCGCAGATGCTCAGGGCACTGCGCGAGAAGATGGACGAGCTGCTGACGGCGCGCTGGCAGTGCTCGCAGCTGCGCCGGTAGGGAGCCACGCCCGCCGCGCCCGGGCCGCCTACCCCGCCGTAGCGGCACGAGGGCGCGTAGCCGCCGCTCGCCCCGCCGCAGCGCGTCCCGAGCCCCGCCAGGTCCATGAGCACCGCCTCAGAGTAGCTGGGCACCAGCTGCTGGTTGGAGCGGATGTGCCACTCGAGCTCCGTGCTGTCCACCGTGTTGACCCGCGGCAGGCGGTGGGTGAGCGGGGGCAGCAGCTCGTCGCTGGGGCTGAGGCCGCCGCCCGCGCTACTGGCCGACCCCGGGCCCTCCAGGCCAAAGAGCTTCTCCACGTGGTAGTGTGCGTAAGCCGTGCGGTACTCTGCCAGCACTCGCAGCGGCCACGACAGCGTGAGCAGAGCCGCGGCCCAGAAGGCCGAGGAGCAGGCGTACCAGGGCGGCCGGGCCGGGTCCGGGAAGGCCACCATGAACTCACGGAAGTCCACGTTCTTGAGGTGCATGCCCTCGCGTGCCTCCATGTAGTCGTCCAGGCCCTCGTTCTCTGCGAAGAAGCGCGCGCGCTGGCACAGGTACGCGTTCTCGGCCTCCACGCTGGCGAAACTGAAGCACTTGGTGAAGCGCAGCCTCGTGGCTGGCGCGCCCTCCAGCCCCACCAGCGTCTTGGACACGTCGCGGACGCCACAGCGCGCGTAGTCGAACTCGGCCTCCGCCACGTGCGTGTTGACGCGTTCGTGGTAGACCTGCGGCGCGGGGGACAGGCGGCTGGGTCGCGAGGAGCCCGTCAGCGGTGCCCGCTTCTGCCCACTCACCCTCGCCCGCCCCATCGCTGCTCTGGTTGCCTGGTCGGACCCTAAGTCTGTCTTGGTTTAGGTGCCGGCTGGAGCTGGTTAGGATCTTTCCGAGTTGCAGAGCAACTGACGCCCTCTGCATAATCAGACGTGAGGACCGGACTAGAACCAGCCCCACCTGTGCGTATTTAAATTCTAACTAAACCCTGCGTCCTCTAGGGGTCAGGCCCTGGCCACGAACTGCCCCTCTGGCTTGCCTGATCCATTTGCCACTGCCTCTGTTTTCCAAAGTGCTCCCGCATCACCACAAACAGCCTTCTCTTCTTCTTTCTTCCCTTTTACAATTGTGTTTCCAAATGGGTTCCCCAGAAGCACTCCCTAAAGAACCCCTCTGTCTCTAGTCTTCCTGTTCAGGCTATAGCTATCACTCAGCCTCCTTCCTGCTTCTCACCGGCCCCAGGCTTCTGTCTGTTGATCCTTATACTAGGACAGATGGCCTACATCTGGGAACGTCTCCTCCAGGACTCCAATATGTCTCATCCTGGCGAGTCCACAAAGTGCTGATTGACCTGCCCACCCCCAGTGAGACTTCCTATGCCCACCTCTTCTTAGACCCTTGAACTTGAGATCCAGGAAGCTGGGATTGAGCCTAGCACTACCACTTAAGAGCAGCAGACTTTAGACAAGTCACTGAGTTTACGTGTCCATACCTGTGAAAGAGAACTCGGTAGCAGTCACCTCACTGAATAGGTAGAGCATGCTATGATATTGGGCATGTGAAGCCATCTCCAACCATTAAGCACTAATTTTTTTTTCTTTTTTCTTTTTTTTGAGATGGGGTCTTGCACTGTGGTGATCACAGCTCACTACAGCCTCAACTGCCCAGCCTCAAATGATTTTCCCACCTCAGTTTCCTGAGTAGCTGGGACTACAGGTGCATACCACCACACCAGCTACTTCTTTTTATTATTTCTACAGATGGGGTGTTACTATGTTGCCACGAGGCAGGCTGGTCTCAAACTCCTGGCTCAAGAGATCCTCCTGCCTCACCAAAGTGCTGAGGTTACAGGCCTGAGCCACCACACTGTGCCATTAATCACCAAATAGACCCATTAAGCACTAAACAGTATACAGATCCTGGAGCCAGATTCCTTGAGCTCGAGTCTCATCTCCACCACATACTGCCTATTTGACCTTAGACATGTTACTTAAACTCTCCAGGCCTCAGTTTCCTCATCTGCAAAATGGGAATACCTGCCTACCTCATAGGGTTATTATGAGGGTTAAATAAATGATTTGATGTGTGTAAAATACTTAGAGCAGAGCCTGGCTCCTGGTCGTTGTTTGCTGTTACGACTATGGTTGTTGCTATTGCCCTGCTGTTGCAATGCTCATGGGAGCTCACTGCTGCCTTGTGCTCCTCCCACCTTCCCCCCAGGGAGGTGGGGAGGGAGTAAGGCAGGGCCAAGTGCCACCTCCCATGTTGAATGTCTTGCACTCCCCACCAGCTCCTCACCTGGGTGGTGGTATAGGCGTCTCCATTGCGGTATCTGGTGACCTGGCGGGTGCGGCGGACATAGTGGTAGCTGATGGCCTTCCACCAGATGCAGGGTGTGGCTTGCTGCA